TTGATGCCTTGTGCCCGTGATGCACGTGCATCCCCTCGTGATCCTGCTTCCGGGCGTCCAGGACTCTGACATTTCGTAGTTTCTAGACCGGGGGCATTGAGTGTCCTCTGCCTGTGGCCTGCGCCGCACACATCCCCCTCTCTCGCCCTGTCTCGGCGGGGCTAGCCCCGCCGGGACGACGACACCCCGGCGGCCTCTAGTGACTGAGGTCCCCCCGAAAACGGCCAGAGACATGGGCCACCAAACCCGTTCCCCCCCGCCCCCACGCCCGAACATGGAGGCGTAACCAGGCGCTGGCGCCGATCTTTCCGAACAGGGCGTGGTTGTGACGGCCGGGAGAAGGCAGCGGCCAACCCGAGGCGCCTGCCCGTCCTCTGCCGTCCACGTCTACACGCACACACACGCACACATACGGGCCTCCTACGCGGACAAGCACCCCCGCTCCTCCGGTCGCTTTCTCCACACAGGGGGGAAGCGAGAACTTGCGCAAGAGAAGAAGCAGCAGCAGCACACACTCCGTCTACATGGGGGGAAGTGCTTTTTCGGCCGTCACGCTGGCGGGCCGTCTGACCTGGACTACGCTGGCATCGACACTGCTTCCTCCTCCCCTCTCCTCCTTTTCCCTGCCTCGCCCCCCCCCCCCCTCTCCCCGCCTCCTCCGCCTTTGCCTGTCCCACTTCTCGCCCGTTTGCACCTGCCACGCTCTCCTCCGTCCGCGGCTCCTCCCCGGTACATCACCCACCCGCCCCGCCGCCTCGCCCCCCTCCTCTTCAGCCTCAGCCATATTACTCACCACTGGGCCCCCGCCACTCTTTTTCTTCCAGAGAACCATGGATTTCCTCGTCCCCAAGTCCACGCTCTACGACAGCAATGACCCGATGAACGAGATGTTCGAGCGCGAGGTCCTCGGCCTCCCGTCGGCCGTGTCCTCCGGCCCGGCTGCCGCTCGCATGGACTTCGCCGTCCCCGCTGGGGTCCACGTACGCCGATGCCTCCCTCGATCTCGGCCTGCTCCGCCGTCGCCCCCCCCCCCCTCTTCCTCTCGCCCAAAGCACCCAGTATCTCACATGCCCGCCCCCTCGCCCTTGCCACCGCCTCAGCCCGCCGACTTCGTGGAGCCCTACATGGCTCCCTGCACCGCGGCTGCCGGGTACACTGACCCTCGCATCCACATGGAGCACGGCACCACCACCCTGGCCGTCAAGGTCAAGGCCGGTGTCGTTGTGGCTGTCGACTCTCGTGCCACCGGTGGCGCATACATCGGTCCGTTCTCCCCGCCACTCCTCCTCTCCCCTTCTGTGTCTCTCCCTCTCTCTTTGTCCCCTTTTCCCTGCCCGTCTGTGCCCACCCGATGGCTGGCTGACTCTCCCTCTCATCGCATCATGTACCCAAACGCCCAAACCCGCACACAGCCTCCAGTGACGTTAAGAAGGTCATCGAGATCAACCCCTTCCTGCTGGGCACCATGGCCGGTGGTGCTGCCGACTGCGCCTACTGGCAGCGTCACCTTGGCCGCCTCTGCCGGTACGCCGCCGTCGCCGCCGCCGCCGCCGCAATCCCGTATGCCTGTATCCGCTCACCACCCGCCCCCTCCCCTCCTTGATAGCCACTACGAGCTCCGCAACCAGGAGCGCATCTCGGTTGCTGCTGCCTCCAAGCTTCTGGCCAACATCGTCTATGAGTACAAGGGCATGGGGCTCTCCATGGGTACCATGATTACCGGGTGGGACAAGAACGTACGCGTGTCTCCATTTTTGCGGGCTGCCGCAGCTGCTGCCTCCCCCCCCCCCCCTCCCTCCGGGTGGGCGATCTGTCCCCCTGCTTGCTGACCCATGCTTCCTGCTGGCCGTGGCCACGTGCGCGCATGCCCGATCACCCATGTCCACACATTTGTGCACACCCTGCACCCCCTACCCCACCCAGGGCCCTGGCCTCTACTACGTCGACTCGGATGGCACCCGCCTGACCAACAACTACTTCTCCGTCGGCTCCGGGTCCACCTATGCCTATGGTGTGCTTGACTCGCAGCTGACCGGTCCCGACCAGCCCATCGAGGAGGTCATCGACATCGCTCGCCGCGCCATCACCTTCGCCACCTACCGCGATGCCTATTCCGGTGGCAATGTCCACGTCTACTGGGTCAAGGAGGACGGATGGGTCCATGTGTCCAGCGACGATGTCAGCCAGTGCTGGTACCGCTACCAGGCCCTGCGGAACGCCACCCCGGCTGCCGACAAGCCGGTCGATGCCGAGATGGCCACCGCCTAAATGACGTGCAGAAACGTGTGAGTTGGGGAGACCGAGAGAGAGAGAGAGACGCAGCCCCCTTACAAGGCCCCAGTGAGGATGCCTCTCTCCCCACTCCCGCGCCCCGGCTCACCAGCCCCACTCCCCGCCAAAGAGAGAGGAGGAGATATCTCCCCAAACAAAACCCGTGTAACATACAGGCCTGCTGCATGCATGCCCCCCCCCCCCCCCCCCCCCCCCCCCCCCCCTCCACTTGGGGCAGCGCTCTGATCTCCCGAAGGAAGGCGAGCCATGCTTCAACTGCCGCCCTTTTCTCCTCCCCCTCCCTCTTCCTGTCTCCTTCTCCCCTGCGCCTTCCCCTTCTCGTGTGTGCCTCCCGCCATGCAAGGTCCGTGCAAATGGCCCCCACGCGCACGCGGGCGCTGGGCAAGACGCCTGTAGGGCCTACATTTCGTTGCCCGCTGTGGCCCTGTGATGGCGGCCCCTGGCAGCACAGCCAACCACAATAAACCCCCCCTCCGCGAGCGCGTACGCCCACTCACACCCATGCCCTGGAGGCGTCCCCGGGGTGGGGGCAAGATCGCCAAGACCGAAGGCCGGAAGAGGGAGCAAAGGGGCGCCCCTAGGGGGGGGGGGGATTCACCTGAACCGAAGAGCGAGACGGAGGAAAGGAAGGATACCCGGCTGCAACCCGATCGACCGGGTGATGGTAGCATGTGTGTGCTGCTCTTTCGGAATGTCGCCCGCCCGCAATTTCACCCCAACAAAATGCGACTGCCCACTTTGTGCCACAGGCATTTTGGGGAAAGGGTGTCTTCGAAAAAGATCACTATTCATTAATCGAACCAGCGGCCTGTTCACTCGCCACACATTCGCGAGCCACGGAGACCGCTAAGCCGATCTCTCCGTCCTGACTAACCAGTGAGTTGCGAAGCCAGCTACCTCCCAAAGGTTAATCCGGAGACAGCAGCGCAAGATGCGGCCCTGCCGTGCGGAACGGACATGGCGCCCACTCCGAAACAGAAAGCGGAGGAAACACCAATACCCCAAACCTGAGGAACTCTGTCCGGCGCGAAATCACTCGCAGATCCGCCTCGGGCATCGGGGCGAGGGGGGGGGGGCAGGGAGCGGCTGCGCCCGGACAAGTGCTCGGCGGCGCCGAGCTTCTCCCCCGCGCCCCTCCTCGCGCAAAGCCCAGCACGCCCTCCTCCCCCTCTCCCGAAACAAGACCCCACAATGATGGCCGTGTGAGCGAGCCTCCCCCTGCTCCCCCTCTCTCTCTGTTGCTGGGCCCGCCGCCCCCCCCCCGGCCAACACACAACAACCGCCGCAAGATGGTAGAGAGAAGCAGTTTATATGGGGGGGGAAGAAAGGAGATGCAGACCGGACACTTCCGAGACAGAGGGCGAGTGGTGGTGAGGCCCCCCCGAGCGCGCGGGAGGAGAAAACACACACACAGCACACGATGGGCCAGCCGTAGAGACACAATACCACGCGCCAACACATGCACAGCAGCCAGGGAAAGCCGAACAACAGGCCAGAGCAACCTCCGCCACATGGTCATCCGCGCGTCAGAGGCCATCGCGCATCACACCATCGGGCGGACGACGGAAGAGGGGAGGAGGAGGGGGAGGAGAGAAGTCTCGGACCCCGCGCCCGCCGCCCCCCCCCCCGCGCGCCCGATGGACGGAGGAGAGGTCCCCGGAGCGTGCAAAATCACGAGAGGGGAGATTTAGGCAGAGACCTCCTCAACGGCGGCGGGCTCGTTGTACTTGATGATCTCAACCTTGACGGCACCATCGTCGTCCTTGGGGTCGTGGATGGTGATGTTGTCGGGGAGGGCCAGGCGGGGACCGGTGCGGCCGGTCGGGTCCTGAGGCAGCATGATCTTAACCTTCAGGCCGAGGACACCCTGGCGCAGGAGGACGTGGCGGACGGCGAAGTCGATGTAGTCCTTGGTGGGCTGGCCGGAGTGGACCATGAAGCCGTCGGCGAACTTCATGGACTTGGCACGAGCAGCGCGGAGCTTACCGGAGACGATAACCTCGCAACCCTTGGCACCGGAGTCCATGACGTAGCGCAGGACACCGTAGCAAGCGCTGGAGAGTAGAGAAGAGCAGAGGGAGCAGGCGAGGCGCGCGCATGTGAGTGGGAGCGAGAGGCCACAGCAACAAGCCGTGAGGAGGGAGAGAGAGATGCGCCCCCCGGGCGGCGGCGGAAAAAAGGCAGACACAGGGGAGGGGCGGAAAGATGACACGCACCGGCGGACGGCGAGACCACCGAGCAGCTTGTAGCGGAGGGACTCGCACTGGGCGATGGCGCAGAGACCGCGAGAGGCGACCTTCTCGGCGAAGATCTCGACGGCACCAGAGGCGAAGCCGAAGCGCTTCTCAACGAGAGCAGTGAGCTCACGGAGGCGGCGGCCGCGGACACCGAGGACGACATCGATGCGGGTGACACGGATGACGATGTGCTGGGCAGAGGGGGTGATGCGGACCTCGACACCGGAGTAGCCAGCCTCGGCAAGCTCACGGGTGAGGAACTCGTTCAGCTCAGCGTAGAAGACACCATCGCCGATGAACTGCGATGCACGGCCACCAGCCACACCGACGGGGCAGGCAAAAAAGAGAGGGGGAGAGAGAGAGAGAGGGGGGACGAGGGTCAGGCACAACGGGCAGTCGGATGCAGAAAGTGCGCGCGCGCATCCGAAAGGAAAAGGGCGTAGATGCCCCTCCCCCCGGCGGTGAGGGAAACACGGCGACGCGACATGCGGGGGAGGGGGGCATGGCACGCGCACGCGCACGCGCACGCGCCGCACAGCGGGCCTCCTCTCCCATACCCGAGAAGGGAAGGATCAGCCGGGGCTGCGCGGCGCGCAACGCCGGGGGGAGAGAGAGAGAGAGCTGGAACGCGCCAGCGGAGCGGAGATGACGCACCTTGCGCTTCTTGGAGATGGCGCGGACAGAGGGGGCGACAGGCGCGGACATGGTTAAGCGACTCTCGGAAGGATGCAACGAAAGCAAAAAACCAAACGAGGGAAGAGGCCGGGACATGGGGGGTTGGCCGCTGTGGCGGGGTCCGAAAAAGGTCCCGCCTCGGCGTCAGCGCCCCCCGAGAGAGGCCGGTGCCCTGGGCGCGCGAACTCCCCCGAGAGCCCTGTGCCGGCCTCCTCTCCCGCCCCGCCGCCCCCGCTCTTGCCGCGCCCGCCCCTTCCCCCCTATTGATACGCACACACACACACACCCAGGCGCCCGAACACTGCCAGCCAGGCCGCTCCCCCCCGGGCACCCTCGCCCCCACACAGCCCCACACCCGGGAGGCGCGGGAAACGCGCCCCGGGCCCCCCGTGCCAGGATGCGCCCGGCCATCCCCCCCGCCCGCCCCTCGCGCGCGCCCACCTACCAAACACAGAGATAGAGCCCCACGCGAGGCAAGCCGAGCGCCTGGCGCCTGACGCCCACGCCCATCACCAGCAGTCCCCTGGCCGGACATCCGCGCAAGGGTGTGCGGGGGAGAACCAAAGAGCACACGGCCTTGGGTGACCTACCCCCGGTGTGGCGGTGCCCTGGCATGGCCCCCCGACTGGCAGCCCCGTAGCACCAGGGTACGGCCCCAGCCTGGTGCTGACAACCCACTCCTCCGACCACCAGGCTTCCCCCCCCCCCCGCCCCCCAGACAGACACAGGGCGGGCGGAGCGGGTCCATCCTCCGACGACAGGCTGAGAGCCAAAAATACCTGACTGTTGGCAGTTACCGGCCCGTCTCGCCACGCCAGGGATCCTGATACTCGGCTGGGAGGGAGGGAAGGAGGGGGTCGGCCAAAAGACCAAGGGAGGGACCATCCGCACACACCGAGCCAGGGCCCTGCTCGATATGCCTGAAGGGACCCCAGGATCCGAGACTCGCCTAACCCTGGCCGGGCTTGAACTCGAATAGCACACCATCTCCCATCGGACACCCGATGGAGCACAACTCCCATTGATCTGTTCGTGATCCCTGGGCTGTCGGTCCGGCATTCTGCGTGATCATTCTCGGCGCCTTTTTGCTCCAAAGCCATGCCCATCTCACAACGAAGCGCGCCCCGTGTGTGGTGTGCTGAGAAGTCTTCTCGCCCCCCTCCCTGGGCCGGAGAAAAATCGGGCCCAAGGCTAAAAGCGATCTCACCTTCTCCCAGGTTGCTGCGAGGGTGTGCGCGCGCGCGCGCGCG